AGAGATATTTTCTTCTTACCAAAATAGTTTCTCAAGGGCACAGGTGAGCCACATGGGTGCCTGTATTCCGCCTTATGTGGATAAATAATGGATTTCAGGTTCCAGCACTCATAACTTGGTTGCTTCCCAAAGCACTAAATTGCACACACAGAATTTAAATAAAAATAATAGGAAATAATTTTAAACTGGATTGGCCCCCATGAACAAGTGATGGATGAAAGGTCAGGCAGAAGAAATGCTGCTGTTTTAGGTGACACATATTTTGAACGTATATATTATGTATGTCAAGGGCACCCAGAGTTTGGATAGGCATCCTCATATTTGTAAGTTTTTAGACTGAAATCTACATAAATAAATAATATACACAGTGACGTTTGGCATGAGCAGGCTAAAAATGTACGATATTAAAGATAAATTATACTTTTTTTAATGGAAAAGATTAATCAGCTTTTTCATCCCTCTAGACTTTGATTGCTGTGTTGTGTCTGTCTGAAATGAAAGCATATACATAGCAAAAAACTCAGCATGAGGGTTCTTAGTCAACACGTCACAACTTTCTATCAGAGTTGGTCAGTATTAGCACTTCAGAGATGGACTTACACCTTAGAGCAAGGCGAACATTCAACCAAAAAAACCCAATTTACTTTCACAGTAGTGTCTACTATTCCCATTGGTATTAGAGCTGAAAATATGAGGTCACGCCAGGGGCTGATCTTGCAAGATGTGGAGCACATTCTAAGAGCTGAGTCTTTTCAACACCCGTGAGGCTCAATGTGCACTCAGCTCCATGCAGTAGGTGCTCCAAAATATGCCCTTAAGCCTTGAATGCTCAAGTTTTAAGATGGGAAGATAAAGCAAGAGGAACATTTTTCTGCCTCTCCCAAAATGGCTAGCTAATTTGGTCATCATCCATGCTTCTGCTTGGCCTCTGAGGAAGTGTACCTTGAGTACAGAATACAGACGGTGAAGGGGAGCAAACAAGGGAATGGTGGAGCACCAGAAAGGGGTAGTGTGGGGAGTAAACAGGAGAGAATGCTCAATGGAGAAGAGCAGAGCAATGAATTAATTGCCAGCATGAAAGCTGACAATACAGCATTAGGCGTAGCAGAGTTCAGGAAAAGATCCATCAAGATTTAGCACACAGAGAAATGGGAATGATGATTGTTAAAATTATATGAGCAAATCTGTTCTGAATTTCCTGAAGCATAATGGTTTAATATTTGGCAGTATGCCTTCAAAGAGCCATGTAGAGATTTAGCCCTGAGTCGCTGAAACTATAAGTAAGTTCAGTAAAATGTTTTTCAGGATTCATAACTTTAAAATGCATTATGAGGCAAGTGTACTAATACTGGAAACTATGAGGAAATCAGCAACCCCCAGGGTACACTAAACCAACTGGTCAAGAAAGACAAAAAGAATAGGAGTACTTGTGGCACCTTAGAGCCTAACACCACATTCTACAAGCCATTACCCTCTGATCCCACTGAGGGTTACCAAAAGAAACTACACCATCTACTCAAGAAACTCCCTGAAAAAGCACAAGAGCAAATCCGAACAGACACACCCCTAGAACCCTGAGCAGGGGTGTTCTATTTGCTACCCAAGATCCATAAACCTGGAAATCCTGGACGCCCCATCATCTCAGGCTGGCACCCTAACAGCAGGATTGTCTGGCTATGTAGACTCCATCCTCAGGCTGTACGCTACCAGCACTCCTAGCTATGTTTGAGACACCACTGACTTCCTGAGGAAACTACAATCCATTAGTGATCTTCCTGAAAACACCATCCTAGCCACTATGGATGTAGAAGCCCTTTACACCAACATTCCACACAAAGATGGACTACAAGCCATCAGAAACAGTATCCCCGATAATGTCACGGCAAACCTGGTGGCTGAACTTTGTAACTTTGTCCTCACCCATAACTATTTCACATGTGTACCTTCAAATCAGCGGCATTGCTATGGGTACCCACATGGCCCCACAGTATGTCAACATTTTTATGGCTGACTTAGAACAATGCTTTCTCAGCTCTCGTCCCCTAACGCCCCTACTCTACTTGCGCTACATTGATGACATCTTCATCATCTGGACCCATGGAAAAGAAGCCCTTAAGGAATTCCATCATGATTTCAACAATTTCCATCCCACCATCAACCTCAGCCTGGACCAGTCCACACAAGAGATCCACTTCCTGGACACTACAGTACTAACTGATGGCCACGTAAACACCACCCTATACCGGAAACCTACTGACCGCTATACTTACATACATGCCTCCAGCTTTCATCCAGACTACACCACTCGATCCATTGTCTACAGCCAAGCTCTACAATACAATCACATTTGCTCCAACCCCTCAGACTGAGACAAACACCTACAAGATCTCTATCAAGCGTTCTTACAACTACAATATCCACCTGCTGAAGTGAAGAAACAGATTGACAGAGCCAGAAGAGTACCCAGAAGTCACCTACTACAGGACAGGCCCAACAAAGAAAGTAACAGAACGCCACTAGCCATCACCTACAGCCCCAATTAAAACCTCTCCAGCGCATCATCAAGGATCTACAACCTATCCTGAAGGACAATCCATCACGCTCACAGATCTTGGGAGACAGGCCAGTCCTTGCTTACAGATAGCCCCCAAACCTGAAGCAATTATTCACCAACAACCACACACCACACAACAAAAACACTAACCCAGGAACCTAGCCTTGCAATAAAGCCCGTTGCCAACTCTGTCCACATATCTATTCAGGGGATACCATCATAGGACCTAATCACATCAGCCACACTATAAGAAGCCCATTCACCTGCACATCTACCAATGTGATATATGCCATCATGTGCCAGCAATGCCCCTCTTCCATGTACATTGGCCAAACCGGACAGTCTCTACGTAAAAGAATAAATGGACACAAATCAGACGTCAAGAATTATAACATTCAAAAACCAGTTGGAGAACTCTTCAGCCTCCCTGGCCACTCGATTACAGACCTAAAAGTTGCAATATTACAACAAAAAAACTTCAAAAACAGACTCCAATGAGGGACTGCTGAATTGGAATTAATTTGCCATTAAATCAGGTTTGAATAAAGACTGGGAGTGGATGGGCCATTACACAAAGTAAAACTATTTCCCCATGCTTATCTTCCACCCTCCCCCCCCCCGCCACATCTCCTTATCAAGTGCTGGAAATGGGCCATTTTCATTACCACTACAAACAGTTATTTTTCTCTCCTGCTGACAACAGCTCACCTTAACTGATCCCTCTCCTTATAATGTGTATAGTAACACCCATTGTTTCATGGGTGTGTGTGTGGGTGTGTGTATGTGTGTGTGTGTGGGTGTGTCTTCCTTCTGTATTTTCCACTACATGCATCCAATGAAGTGAGCTGTAGCCCACAAAAGCTTATGCTACAATAAATTTGTTAGTTTCTAAGGTACCACAAGTACTTCTATTCTTTTTGTGGATACAGACTAACACGGCTACTACTCTGAAACCTGTCAAGAAAGACAGGACTTCAATAGAGCTTTGCGGCCTTAGATGTACTCAATATGTACTTTGAAGGGTAACTGTACTGGCCATACAGAAGAAAAAAACAAAACACTAAAACATAATGCATCAGACCCTCTTTGTAAGGCCATTAGCTGTTTCCCCCAAAATGTTGGCTTTTTTTCCAACTCTGCTTTCTTGAATAAACATGTAAACCTGACCAGTGTCAATACAGAATTATTTAACCTTTGTAGCCAATGGGCTTGGTGCTACTCTAGGACTTTATTGCTGTTGGATATATTCCCATTTCAATTTGAGCCTTTAAATTGTTTGGTTATAATCTCTATGGCAATGACTATATCACATCACAAAATCAGGTCAGGAGTAACTAGGAGACAAGGGACTGGGAAAGATAAAGCCCTGGTTTCACCAAGTCTCTTTGAAAATTAAATAAAAATATGAAAGAAATACAACTAATAAATAAGTTTGTTTGACTTCTTTGTCAAGTCTCTGTTAAAGTGTGAATGATGTTCATGCTGCTATAAAACCATATTAATTATGAAACACAAATCTAGTTCTAGCACTGGTGTAACACGAGTGTATTAATTGTTAGACTTCTTGGCCTATAGGGAAGTAATGTAGCCGACTAATTTCATTCTTTGAAAGCTGACTATGTTACTCTGTCAGAGTTATCTACCACCAAGTATCAAAGGAATGGATTCAGATTTTGTTGTTTTACTTCTGTAGACTCTCTCTACAATATTTTAATGTACAATCATCTCTGTATTTCATATAGAGGGGGTAAAAATAAAGTTAAGTTTCTCTAATGAATAGTTTTCTCAGAATTGCCTTTTTTTGTTTGCACTCCAATTTATAGAGCAGCCAGCCTCTGAAGAAAACCTCTGCAGAGGTGTAAGAGCTGAGAATATTACCTTTATTATTGTGTGTGAAATTTACTCCCATGTAGCGTTCCACAATAAGTCATATATGCCATTTAAGTCCCAGTTAAGCCCTAAATTGAGGGTTTAAGACGTACATAGATTTTGTTCGGGACCTGTGTACAGCAGTGATGTGTTTTTTCCCACATTGACTTCAAAAGGAGTTGCTTGCATGCAGCATTTTATACGGTTAAGTCATACACTACAGTGCATTCAATCCATTAACAGAAGGAGGCTACAAAACTGATTGTTGCTTGTATTATATTAATCCACCATGAATTTGAGCAGGGGGTTGGACTAGATGACCTCTTGAGGTCCCTTCCAACTCTGATATTCTATGATTCTATGAATTAGCAATAATACATAAAAAGTCTGGAAGGACTTTTTAAAAAACCAGTCTTTACTACTAAATCCCAAAACAAGACGAAGCAACAGTCCTTCTTTCCAGCCTGGTATTACACTGGAGAATTTATCACATTGGAGTCCAGGATTTGAAAGTTGCATATTTAGAAAGATACAGCTCAGATTCAAACTACCTAGATTTTTTTTGTTTTCTTTCTAGGATTTCATTATGGGTCTCTCAATTTTACTCAGAGGGACAGTACAAGAAAAACTCAACTGGGCTTTTAATTTGTATGATATAAATAAGGATGGATACATAACTAAAGAGGTAAGAATTTATTTTGTAGCCACAATAACTGAAACCACAGCATGTATGTGTCTTTTCGAGTTTGGTTTGAAAGGAACGTGGCTTTAGAGAAACTGTTGTCAAAACTGAGTTCAGTGGCAAACAACTAGATAACTTATTTTCTTCCCACCAACTTAAAATGGTTAAAATAAATGCATTTTACAGAAACTTTTTAAAAAAAGATCGTTAAGAACTAGCCACAAATTTAGATTTTATTAGTAGTCATAGAAGTCATAGCTGGCAAAATTTCTTAAGAAAGAGGCACAATGGGCATGCTTTGGAGTACCTACATTTGCCCACAGAATTGCAAGAACTAGGTAGGGTATTTGTACATAAAAATATGTATCCAGAAATGCAAGTGAACACTTAACAACAAATTATCAGGGATAGATTTTTTTTTTTAAAACACAGAATGTATTAAAATGCTATTATATCCTAAAGGGCCTTATTCTGCAAGGACTAGGCACATGCTGAATTTTACTCATCAAAGTCAATGGGACAACGTACATGTGAAGTGAGCATGCACATAAGTTTTTGCAAGATCAGGCTCCTAATCTGCTTACTGTAAATGATACTGGTACTAACAGTTTCTAGCAAGACACTGCATAAAGTTTTTTTTTTTTTTTTTTTAAATTACAGTATTTTATTCAGCATACTGACAGATGAGTTACATGTTTGTAATCATTCTTATAGAGCACTGTTCAGCGACATATCTCAAAGCACCTTACAAAAGCTGGGGAAACTCACACACAAGGAGGCGATGTGATTTTGCCCAATTGCCTTCTGCTACAAATTTTCTGTTTGTTTGTTTCCACTTACTGGTCCACAGGAGCTTTCTTTCCACAATATCAGTGGACTTTTAGATATCATAAAGCATTTAAATTCAGAAGCATAAATCTGCATCTACTTAACGGTTTTCAGTTATTTAAGATGTTTTATCTATTTCTCTCTATTGTAGAACGTATGGAAGCTGCAGTAGCTAATTTAAACTTCAAAGTGATCCGTGTGCATTACATTCCTGAAGTTGTTCAATCACAATTTGACTGTGGCACAGTCTTAAATATTTCTTCTAAACTATAAATGCTCAAAAGAAACATTTACATAAACATGTTTTTCTCTTCAGGAAATGCTTGATATTATGAAAGCTATATATGATATGATGGGAAAATGCACTTATCCTGTTCTCAAAGAGGACACCCCTAGACAACATGTGGAAACATTTTTCCAGGTAGGGCAAAACAACAAAAAAGGATGGTCTACAAGAAAAATCCCATGTTTTGATTGGCAAACAATTTTGCACATCCTATTATTTTTGTTACTCTATCTTCCCTGTGCCCCCATCCCAACCTACTTGTCTGTCTGATCTGTCATGTCTTGACTTTTATAGACTGGAAGCTCTCTGAGGCAGGGACTGAATTGTACTTATAGTGTCTAGCAAAATGATATCCTGACCTGGGTGGCCACCAGCCTGCAATATAACTCTGAAAAAAAGTAAATAAAATAAGTGATTTTAAGTAGGATTTTTCCATGATTTAAGCAAATGTTCTTATTTTTTTCTGGACAGAAAATGGACAAGAATAAAGATGGGGTAGTTACCATAGATGAATTCATTGAAAGCTGCCAAAAAGTAAGTAATGATAAATTGATTTAGTTACTCCTATCAGCTGGCTAAGTGGTTGTCACACGGTACTACCAATTAGGATTTGGGTGTAAAGATGTAGCTTACACTTCTAGGCACCAGGGACCACATTTCCCAAGGCACCTTTACAAAAAAATGTGTCTGGCAAACTGTTCTACAAAACAGTCAGTTACATATGCAAACATGTACAATATTTGTATTCATAGAGGTGATAGTTTTTGAAAAGCTAATGTTCACCTATTCTACTAGTGTGTTTGCATCCTCTCTTTCCGTGCAAAGTTACCATGTAGTAGACAATAAATTGTTTGTTATGTGAATATTTATTTGAGCCTTGTGCTGGGTAAATATCTGCCAGAATTCACATTTATTCACTGTAGGATAACTGAATGTGCTATTATTTAAGAACTTGTCTACAGTTAGACAAGACAGCCTTATAAAAATAAGTATTAATTTTTTCATAATAAAATTGCAGAAAACACCAAAGCTACTTGTTATTTGTACATTGTAAAAGGTTACAAGCTATTAGAGGAACATGGGTACATACAGAGGGTGTCATAACCACATTAGATCAAGTGTTGAGATCCAAACTGGAAAAAGGGCTAGCAACAATTGATTAGATCATTCAGATTGATTTTCTTGAGAAAAGAACTGTCAATGGCTAGAACAAACTAAAACCATCAATTCTGTCTACCAATAAATACAGTAAAGTACAGTAGATTTCAATGGACATACTAGCTCTATTTGGGTTTCCTTGGATAGGGGAAAGGAGATTAGGAAAATCAACTATAAGAGTCAATGTATTGCCCTTTTGGTATATGAGAGAAGGGGTAAACAAGACTAGGAAAAGCATGTCTATCCACGAGCAACAATTTATAAACACCTTGTATCCCGAAAGCTGCACAGGAAATATAAAAGATGGTATGGACTTTGTCAGTTTTTTTACTTGCATCTCTAGGTATTCCATGCGAAATTCCTGTTGGATCAAAGACAAGGAGATAGTGAAAGGGTATAGAGACCTAGTCAATGATGTACTATTCTTAATAGCACTTCTCATGGTGGCTGATAAGCTTTGGATACCATTAACCATAGTGTCGATGGTGTTCTTTGCAGTGGATCCACTCCTTTCTAAGATTGCAGTGTTGCTGAGTACGTTTTCTTTCCTGGAGAGATCGGATATAGGGCGCTGTAGGATTTTATCTTGTCACTTCTCTTGTTCAGTATATCTGGAAGGCTGCTCAGGCAGACTGATCACCAGTAGGGAGATGGCATTCATCTGTCTCCCTCTCATTAAATGCCAATTCTGCTATTTCCTCAGTGCCTAACTGAGATTTGGATAAGGCTGGGTGTAAAATTACAGATGGAGTCTGGACAAGATGGCAATGATGCAGATGGGTAGGAAAATTCATCTATAGGAATGGAGGAGGATTGTGCAGTAAGGGCAACAATGTGGTTCTTTTCCAGAATGATTCATGGCTTCAGCAGGCTGTTATAGCTGAGTAATCAGATATGTTGGCACTGGCAGCTATAGTCTATCTCTGATTCATAACATGAGTGACAACCTTTAAATCCCTACATACTTTGGGACCCAGTAATTTGGGAATTCATTTCCTACATCTTGCCGCGGCTGTTAGGGTGTTGGGCATCAATGCCTGGAACTTGGCTTTTCAAGACTATCAGCAGATATTCTCAGGGTTTTGTTCTTCCCCTGACTCCTTAAAAACCCACATTTGATGAGCTTCAGATCACTCAAAAGAGAGCTTAATGATAA